ATATATATATCTTTTCTTTTTTTATGTTCATGATCTCCATATTAGAGATGTTAGATTTGGTGCTATCCAAAATCATCCACATAAGTAAATCTCATATTTTGTGGGATTGATTGAGATTGATCCATATTATGCGGGATTGAGATATTTCTATGTTATGTAGGATTGAGATATTCGCATATTATGTAAGATTGAGATTGATATTGATAAGCGTCCTAAAAAAATAGAAATCCAAAAAGGATTAGGATTTTTGGATATATCTCTTGGTCTTTTGAGATATATGTAAGATTTATAGAAATTTTTCTATTTAGTATGGATTCTTTATCATATAAATGGGATGAAAGTACAGAAAATTTGTGTGCCCTATTTGGGTTACTATATGAGAAGAGGGTGGCAAGGCCTCCCGTACATAAGATGCAAGGTTTCCTCTTAGAGAGAAGAGGGCTTCTTTTGGACAGAAACATTGTGATGGTGCCTCTTTTAGACTCCCGAAGATTGAAATGTTTGTTTCTTGTAGAGAAGCGGTTTCCATTGATATTTTGGGTGGTTAGGTTTCCTCTTAGAGAGAACAGAGCTTCTTTTGGACACAAACATTGTGATGGTGCATCTTTTAGACTCCCGAAGATTGAAATATTTGTTTCTTGTAGAGAAATAGTTTTCATTGATATTTTAGGTGGTTTCTCCTTTTAGTTAGAGAAAAAGTCAGTTTCTCATTGCTCTGGTGTTATCGGTAATGGCTGCCAGAAGTAAGAGTGGTTTAAAATGGTTTGCTCGACTTGAGTTTTTATAGAGGTTTAGAGAGGTACTCTTTGCTCCAAAATCATTAGTATTATGGATTTATGTTTGTCGTGCCCATGGATGTAGTCATTTTCGTTTGAACCACGTAAATCTTTGTGCTCTTGTTAGATGTGTTTGATGTTTTATTTCTCATACTTTATTTACCAAATATTAGCTCATTAGGTTTAAAACTTCTGTGCACAACTAGAGATTACATGTCCTTAAAAATTGGATCCGAAAATGTATCTCAAAAATAGAAAGGGGTGACTCATTTCTACATGAACTCATAAAAACCATGTCCTTCATGTTTCCATGTTTCAATTTATTGCTTGTATAATATTAAATTCCTTTCTAAACCTTGCACAGATAGAGAACTATGACGAACACACTTACAAAGCATACGTAAGCCTAGCAGCACAGGCACACCTAAACATGCCAAAAAGTATATATATAGAGAGAGGGCACATTAGAAAGAGTGAGAGAAGACACGAGAGGAGGAAGAGAGGACATAAGAGAAAGAGGGTACACCAGAGAGAGAGGAGACACAAGAGGGGAAAAGAGAGAGGACACCCCAGAGGGAGAGAGAGGGGGGAGAGAGGAGTGAATGAGAGAGAGAGGACACGAGAGAGAGGGGGAGAGAGCAAATAGATGGAGCAAGTCAGTGTTTCAATGGGCAGGCACCCACGCATGCAGTGATGCAAATGAAAACGCGCAAAGCATGTTGATGGCCCACCTTAACCCAATAAAACCTCAATACAAACAAGTTGAGCCCAGCCTCACGATAACGATAAAACAGATATGTTGAATTTGCAACCGCTTTTTTCTTGTTTATTACAAGACAAGAGTGCCGCCCTGTTGTCATAGAGGTGAGAGATGGGGTTAAATTACCAATTCTAAAAAACCACTTATAAATTATTGTTTTTTGTTTTTTTAGGTAATTCAGCGGGGAAGACAGACCGGGCTTATTGGTTTTTCAAATTATGAGTTAGCTTTTTTAAAATATTAGTGGGGTGATGTTAGCGGTGGGTATGGAAACCAGTAGCTAGGGTGTGGGGTGCTTCCTTACATACAAAAGTTGTGATTGTTATTAGTTGAAGGGTGAGGTTTGTATAATAGGTACACAAGCAAGGGTACGGTTTATATAGATAAAGAGCTTGGGATTAATGGGTTAGGGCTTGACGATTTGCAAACGCTACGTCCTAGGCTCAATTTCAACGTAGGGGCGCTCTCTTCACTGACTCACTTAAAAAAACAAAAAAATAAGACTAAATTTTCCATAAGACAGTTCCTCGTATCCAAAACCTTACGCCTTGAAAATCTACATTCAACTTAATTGTAAAAACTAAAAAATGGTACAGATCGAACTGATCTATAGAACATTCGAAAATTTTGAAATATATGCTATTCAATTTCTTTTTTTCCATTATATCTATATTTCTCGAGATTTTTCCATAAAATAGTTCCTGATATCCAAAACCTTACAACGCCTTGAAACTCTACGTTTGACTTAATTGAAAAAAAAAAAAATGGTACAGATCGAACTGATCTATAGAACATTCAAAAATTTTGAAATATATGCTTTTCAATTTGTTTTTTTCCATTATATCTATATTTCTCGAGGCGAGATATCAATTAGAATACCGTCCATCTTCCAATTACTCTTTTCTATTAAAATTTTGAGGTCCTCCTTATAATATATAAACATTTTCCTTAGTTAAATCTTTTTAAGTTAAACAATGGATACACAAATCGGGACTCTAGATCAGTAATAAACAAGAAGCAAAATCATTCCAAACATCAATAATTTGCTTCACCAGATGAAGAATTATCTTACCTCAAATTTGAAAATTCCAAAGGAAAGATCAAGCTGGCGGAGAGAAGAAGAAGAAGAGAGAATAAGAACTATCTATCTTTCACTCAATTTTTCAAAAATTCCAATGGCGACATCAATGGTCATACATTATTCCCTTCCATGGCATGCCACTCTCTCTCTTGACAAACCTTATTTCTCCACAATACATAAAAACATAGGCCCTCATTAGAATAGAAGAATTCTTTGTTGTTTTCAAACCAGCCATCCGCCATCTAAACCTTCAACTTCTCCAAGATCCATGCTGCAAATGCAAAAGGAAAACTAATCATAAACCATAATTACAATGAGAGGAAAAAAAAAACCATAAAATCAAAAAAGAAATGGATCCATGATCACAATGTGAATCAAAAGAGAAATGGAACAACGGACATAAACCAAATGAAATGGCTGAGTTTGAGATATGAACCTCTACCTTGGCAAAGTTGTATCCTGCAAAAATCCATCAGAAGCATCTGATAAGTGATTCAAACAGCATCCCTCCACTGAAGAGATACCCAAGTGCTCTGCATTGTCTTGTAACCAGGCAGGAATATCCATCAGCTCCTCAAACAATTCATATTCCCCTCTATTATTGCGACTACAACTACTGTTACAACTGCTCCCATGGTTCTCATGGCCACTCTCAAGATTGTTAAGAAACTTCAACCACCAAGCTGAATGGACCAAATTCATTGTATCATTCCATTCCATTTCATGCCTCTCTCCGATAGACCTTATCTCAGCCATCCCTGCATCATCCATGGCCGAATGGAAAGATACAGTTTCAGATGGGCGGAGAGGAGTGGAGGAATTGGGGTTCGGGTTTTCTGGGGGGGTTTCAAAGTTGGAGAAATCAGATGAAACAGGGGGAGAAAATAGAGTTTCAGGGGATGAGTCGATGATTTGTAGTGTCTCTGAAACCCCATTGAAGAAAACTGAAGATGGGTCTGAATAAATTGATGGATTATTGTTGCAATAGAAGCTGTTATAGCATTGCTGCAAATTTAGGTTCAGGCCAAGAGTTTGCTGTGGCAATGGCAGCTCATTGCAGGTTAGCGGCGCACAAAGGGTCGGAGAAACCCAAGGGAAGCAGGGAGGGGAAGTAGAGAGAGAAGGAGAGAAAGATGAGCAAGGAGTAGAACTGGAGAGAGAAGAACACGAGGAAGAGAAGATGGGGTAATCAGGGAATGAAGTACTAGATGGATAAATTCTTGGGTTTCTCCTTGATTTGATCTTGTTATTGGTTTCTGATGACAATGGTGCAGTAGAGTCTTGAGAACTATTTATGTTCTGTTGTTTCATGGCTGCCCTGTGGAATTTTAGAGCAGTTACTATCTCTCTCCTAGCCTCTGCCATATTTAGCAGCCTCTCTTGGTAAGGCCTAGTAGTATGGAGCCTCCTCCTAACTTGTTTCTTAACCTGAGGCTGGTTTGGTTGTTCGTTTTCTCCAAAACCTCCATTAAATTTAGCTGGGGTTTTGGGGAAATCAGGGCTCTCATTATCTGGGCTTTTCCCATTCATGCTATCCTCTTCTGATGAAGAAGAAGCCCTGTTTCTTGAAGAAGTAAGCTGTTTCACTAGGCTCCTGATATAAGCACCAGATAAATGGGGCTCTTCTTTTAGCTTTTCTTCAACAACTCCTAGGTTTCTACTGCCATGACTTGGCTTGGATCTGTTTCTCATCTTCTACAAAAAAAAAAAAGAAGAGATCTCTCTCTCTCTCTACCTAAGAACAGAAATGGATGTGAGGTGGTGGACAATACAAGAACAAGGTGTCATTGTTAACCCCCCTCTCTTTCAATCTCAAAAGAGTTTTGCTCCTCTCTCTCTCTCTCTCTCTCTCTCTTTCTACCTACAAAGAGTTCTCTCTCTCTAGACTTATTTGTTCATCTCTCTCTTTCTGCTCACAAAGAGTGTACCACAAGGAATCATGTTTTCCCCTCTTTCCCTCTTCCTTTTCGGGTCCTCTCTCTCTTTCCTTTTTTGGGTTCTGTTTCTCTGAATGCAAAGTACACTAAGGATCCATGGAACCATGGGACATTATTTATAGCACAGGACATTCTAGGGTTTGTTTATTGACAAAGAAAGGGATTTTATTAAGGACTGGGTTTATGATTCAAAACCCTAGAAATGGGATAAGATACTAAACCACAAAATGCCCAAACTAGCCCCTCCATAAATAGTACTAAATCAGACCCATGTGATCCTATGAAATACAGAAATTGTCACGATTCATGGGACCAGATGAGGGTAATCTTGTCATATGGAAGGGTAATTGTGACATATTTTTGCCAAAGAGGGCTTAATATTGGGCCTGAGTGCCTATTGTTGGTGAGCATATACTTTGTGGACCAGACCCTACCAAGCAAACGTCAGCCGGCACTGACTGACAGAAGAATCTCCATTACTGTTTCTCTTCCTTTTTTTAAAAAAAATATATATTTAATGTGTTATTTATTCAATTCTTTTGAATTTTTATTTCAGTTGAATATTTTAAATTTTTTCTATTTAATTATAACCGACATGATTTGGATTTGCTTCCAAACGGAGTACTTGGACCCCTTGGAAAGGTCAGGAAGGACAGGAATGCTCCATGCTCTTGCATTTTTATAATGTTTTCCAATTTTTTTTAATTATTAAGTGTTTTAATGTTCCATTAGTATTTCCATAGTTTCCATTATTTTCTCTGTTTTATTTTTTTCTTCTTTTTAAAGGTCTGAATAATGAGGTTGCAGAGAGGCATGGCTCTGTATTTTTTCATCAGAGTTTTTGCAGGCACCAGCAAAAAGGGAGGTGAAAATAAAGCCCAGAGGAGGTGCGGGGTAACATTCAAAAAGAGGAGGTGGGGTGACTTATTACTGCAGTAAAACACTCATTTGACAAATCAGACATTCAGTTCAGATCATGGAACTCTTTATTTCGGTGAGTTTCGGCAATATTTCGGGGGTATTGGTTAAAAGTTGAGACAAAATTTTGGTATTTAAAATTTCGTTGAAAACCCAAATGGAAAATTTAATATTTTAAACTTTGACTTTGCTATAATGCTTTTTTAATTTGGAGAGGGTTCGATAATTCTCGTGAATGAGGGGTAATGTGGCCATGAGGATCATTACCCTCCAATCAAGAGCCAATTATCAAAAAGTCGTCTCGGGCCGACTACTCGGGCTTCGCCCTTGCCTAGTAGGGCTCGAGTGCTGTAACAGTTGGAAATTATTAAAATAATAAAAATTTAAAAAAAAATAAAAATAGATTTTTTAAAAAATAAAATTGTGATTAGAGGTATTTTTGAAAAAAATTAAAAAATGAGATAAAAATAAATATTCATGGCCAAAATACTTTCCAATCTTTGTCAAAACGATAAAAAATATAAATAAACATGTTACAAATATATTTCTTATTTTTTAGAGATTTTTTATAATCTTTTTTTTAAAAATTAGGATCATGGAGTTAGACCTCCAAAGACAACTCGGGCTCGGCAAGGGCCCCAACCCCTATAACTTTGTTGAGTCGACTCGGCAGACTTTTCGAACAGTGCGGTGACCTAGTGGGAGCGTGACTCGTTAGAACTTTATGAGAGTTGGATGGTTCCATCAAAGAACCTATTCATTTTTAGGTTAAGATCATGACCTTATATATTCAGTGGTCTGGAGGATTACATTAAACCTATTGTTTGGGCGACTTACATTATACAATACTAACTTGAGGCAAGATTTCCTTTTTTGAGAAACATGAATTTTCCCCAGATTTTTCTGAAGGAAAAGTAATGGTGAGTCCGGCGATTCATGTATTTTCAAGGAGTTTAAGATTAGAAAGATATCCCAAATCATGGTATATCCATTTGCATCTCAAATTCATGAATTTGGAGCTCTAGAAATAGTGGAGATCTCATTGTAAATCACTTCCACCCTTTATTCATGAATTTGGAGGTTCAAAAATAGTGATTTGATGATCTGTGAAGATTTAAAATTTATGCAAAAAAAAAAAGTACAAAATAGATTTTTTAATGCCAAAAAATCATTTTATTTCGAATTTATGATTGTGGTGCCTTAGATGATGGACCTGGAAATTTTGGATCCAAAGTCCATCTCCATGAAAACTCTTGGGAGGGTGAACTCACTAGCACATGTGCATGCGCCAAACCCTACCATTCTTTGAAATATTGAATGAATGGAGATAGTTATGCATGAAGTATAGACAATAATATGACGAGAGAGTTTTTATTTTTATCTATTTTTTTCCTTGAACAATAGAGAATGAAACTCATGACCTTGTGTTTTATAGCCGTAAGCTCGACCAGTTCCAAGTTAGGGCTGGCAATGAGCTGGTTGGACCAGCGTGGCCTAGTGAGCCCGGCCCTAAAAAAAATAAGGGACTAAGCTACAAAATGTGCCCGAGGGCCAGCTGGGGCGAGCCCACCGTGGCCCTTTTTTTTTTATTTTTTTTATTTGTTTTTATTGGATTTGGCCCAGCCCAACCCAGGCCCAGTCCATTGCCACCTATATTCTAAGCATTTTATAAGAACTATAAACACTGTGCATGATAAAACACGGAAAATTAGTGTTTTGTTAGAAGACTTATCGTATACATTAGTAACTATGCGATAATATTTTTGGGTGTTAACACTAAATAAATAAAAAATTCTGAGTCATGAAAAAAACTGTGAAAACCGCAAGAGAAAAACCATGAAAATTTGACATTTACTTTGAGGATTTATCACGTGTTTCAGTAACTACTCTTTAAATAACTGAAATCACTTTGGATTCAGTCTCACAAGCGGCTAGAGCGTCACAGAATAAGCAACAAGACAATAAATTTTGTTGAATTACATGATGGTTATTATTAAACATTAATTTAAAATAAGAAATAAAGAAAACAATGTACTTATCGCTGCTATAGTAGTTTTTTATCAAGCAACAAACTTGTCCAAGTAACATAGATATTTACGGTTTTTTTTTCCAAAAAGAAGGGCTCAAAACAAAATGGGAAAAGTTTATATAGAGCGAGGCTCTCAACAATCAAATTTGAGCCTACCTCAAAAATTTCACTAGAAGAGATTGTTTTGATGCTCAAATATCTTTCAATTCATCATCTCGACATCAAGATGCATGGACATGAGAAAAAAAATGGATTTCAAGTTTTGGAAATAATATATTTTATAGCGCACTTTTGGATCATCAATTTTCAAATTTTCATGTTTTCATAGATCTCTTGATCTACGCTATTTTTGAAGCTTTAAACTTTATAAATAAAGATGAAAATATACTTTAAAGCTATCAAAAAGATTTCCAGCATTGAAACCATATTTCTCAATACCATTTGAAGGTAGGTTCTAATTTGATTGTTTAGAGCCTAGGCTCTATACAAACCGCACCCGAACAAAATAGCGGACGAGTAAGGAAAAAGTTTATATAGAGCCAAGGCTCTAAACAATCAAATTAGAGTCCACCACAAAAATTTCACTAAAAGATATTGTTTTGATGTCCAAATATCCTCAAATTGTTCATCTCGACATCAACATGCGTGGACAAGAGAAAAAAATGGATTTCAAGTTTTGGAAATAGCGCATTTTGTAACGCATTTTTTGACCGTCAATTTTAAAGATTTTCTAGTTTTCATAGACCTGCTCCATCTACACTATTTTTTGAGCTTTAAATTTTATAATTAAAGATGAAAATATATTTTAAGGTTATCACAAAGACTTTCAGTATTGAAACCACATTTCTCAACACTATTTGAAGGTGCGCTATACTTTAATGATTTAGACCCTCGGCTCTATACAAACAGCATCCTTTAAGTAATGCAAGGAAAGATAAGATGATAGAATTTCATAAATAAAACAAGTCAATTCATCAAAATGCCTATGAAAGATGAACAATTTAATGTTTTACTCATATTGTTTAATTTTAGAATACCCATCAAAGTACGTATTAATCATAAGTTGGAGTAGTTGCAAAGATATAAAATGTTAAATAATACATATCTCATGCATTCCCCTATAAAAATATGGGTTCGCGAACCCATTTCAATATCCAATACCTTGTGAAAAAATATAAAAATAAAATATGTTTTTTATCTAAGCAAAAATCATCATCAACGAGCTTCCTTACAAGACCATCTGCCATTCGGGGCTTGACTCCTAGCCCTGCTTCAGCTATAGCAATTACCATGGTTATAATATGGCAACTTAGCTATGCGAAATGAGGTGGCAGTTGATAAAAAAAGGAGTTGCTATTGACCTCTTCATATTTTCCTCGAGTCTATACCCCCATGAGAGATTAATTTGCATATGATGGTATTGGGCCCATTGGGGTCAAGTCTAGATGCTCGTGTTCGTGGTGGGGGTCAAGGGTTCGGGTCAATATAGGGTTGAGGGTCGAGGTCGGGATGGTGATGGTAAATAGTAGACCGTCAGGCAGTATGCCATGATGAAAAAGAAGCTCGGCGCAACACCCTCAAATGTATAGCACCTAGGCTTAAGAGATAGAGGCTCTCAAGTGCGAATACTAGACCACGACGCCCACTAGCAAATATTTCATCGATTTGCATCTGCCTCTCATTATAGTCAGGTAGGCTATCTTGCATGCATGTTCTATCTAAGCCTCAAACTCCTCCTCCTCATCGACACTTGGTCTATAATATCACCTCTCTAATTCCTCAAGAACTCTTATACTGTACCATTTTACCTTTTGTTACGTCCATCACCATTCGAATCTTATCCTTAACTTCCAGGGCACCTTGCCACATAGTTGTAGATCCCCCTGAGTTTTTTTTGCCAGATGATG